AAATTTTATGCCCATTATTCCCTAAGAGTAATGAATGAAGATGGCAGTCAGAAACTTACACAGTACCAGTTTAATTTTGCCTTTTTTGTATTTACATATGTCATCTGTTTAGTAGATAACTCCCTAATTTGCTATACTTAAGTTGAATTGCCATATTTAAGGATACCAAATTACGGAGCTATTTACTAAACAGCTGAAAGTCCTTTTATTAATTGTGTTCATTCAGTTGTTTAGTAGATATTAACTCCTAATTTGCTATCCTTATGAATGGATCTAAAACAATTTGTTTCGATTCATTTGTAATCTGTTACCGAATTTGGATGAAATTAAATTACTAAAGAAAGAAATTAAACATGTTTAGTGAGAACAATAGTAAATATACCAGAAAAAAATATATACAAACTTTAAAGTATAAATGACACACTTATGTGTGGAAAGATAAGTTTAAAAAGTGACAGGTAGTCTGCCATTTATTGTATTAACAGTCAAATCCATTTTAGAGTAGCTGTATTTTACAGAATTTGAAAATCTCTTTAGCACAGTCAAAAGTGAACTTGGACTAAAAATCAATCTACCATAATGGAGGTTCCTAGCCCGTGGTATGCATACCTTCAGGGGTACAATCCAGGGCCTCCGAGGTAGACAAATACATTTCAGCAATGGCGGTTCTGCCTTCAGTGCAATCGCACTGCAATGGGCTGGGAAGTGCTGGGCCCATTGGGTTAGGCCCACCCAAAAGATATGTGCCATGAGGGGCTGGTTATGCACTGAGAGTCTGTCACTTCCTCCCAGTTAACTCAGACCTACATCTATGCCACATGGGAGAACATCCCCTAACTCCCAAAAACCACAGCCAGAAGAGGAAACTCTAGGAAACCGGAGGGTGGCTACAATTCTGACCTGTATGTATTTACAGATTTATTTAACCAATCATTGTTAACAGGAGTAGTACCAGATGATTGGAAGTTAGCGAATGTTGTGCCCATTCACAAGAAAGGTAGTAGGGAGGAGTCGGGCACTTAGAGGCCAGTAAGTCTTAATTGAGTAGTGGGGAAAGTAATGGAAACCATGTTAAAGGATAGGATTGTTGAACATCTAGAATCACATGGATTTCAAGATCAGAGACAACATGGGTTTACTTCAGGAAGATCATGCCAAACTAATCTTATTGATTTTTTTTAATTGGGTAACTAAAATAATAGATCAGGGTGGTGCAGTAGACATTGCTTACCTAGATTTCAGTAAGGCTTTTGACACTGTTGCACATAGAAGGCTTATCAATAAACTGCAAACAGAGGGTAGTAGTGAATGGAGTATTTTTGAAGCATGGGTTTGTCACCAGTGGGGTACCCCAGGGATCTGTATTTGGACCCATTCTCTTTAATATTTTTATTAGTGATATTGCAGAAGGTCTTGATGGTAAGGTATGTCTTTTTGCTGATGATACTAAGATATGTAACAGGGTTGATGTTCCAGGAGGGATAAGCCAAATGGCAAATGATTTAGGTAAACTAGAAAAATGGTCAGAGTTGTGGCAACTGACATTTAATGTGGATAAGTGCAAGATAATGCATCTTGGACGTAAAATATTGTATAGAACACTGGTGAGACCTCACTTGGAGTATTGTATGCAATACTGAAGACCGGATCTCCAGAAGGATATTGATACTTTAGAGAGAGTTCAAAGAAGGGCTACTAAACTGGTTCATGGATTGCAGGATAAGAATAAAAAGGAAAGGTTAAAAGAACTTAACATGTATAGCTTGGAGGAAAAGCAAGACAGGGGGGATATCATAGAAACATTTAAAGACATAAAGGGAATCAACACAGTAATTGAGGAGACTATATTTAAAAGAAGAAAAACTACCACAACAAGAGGACATAGTCTTAAATTAGAGCAGCAAAGGTTTAAAAATAATATCAGGAAGTATTACTTTACGGAGAGGGTAGTGGATGCATGAAATAGCCTTCCAGCTGAAGTGGTAGGTTTAGCATAGTAAAGGAGTTTAAGCATGCGTGGGATAGGCATAAGGCTATCCTAACTATAAGATAAGGCCAGGGACTAATGAAAGTATTTAGAAAATTGGGCAGACTAGATGGGCCGAAATGTTCTTATCTGCCGTCATATTTTATGTTTCTATGTTGGGTTTGTATTTGTGTGTGTTTCTGTGTGTATATATGTATGTGTACCTGCATGTGTGTACCTGCATGTGTGTCACTGTATTTATGTGTGTCTGTGTGTGCCATTGTTTCTATCTTTGTATCTGTGTTTCAGTGTGTGTTTCAGTGTCTGTACATATGTATGGTGTCAGTGTTTCTATCTGTGTGTGTGTCAGTGTTTGTATTTGTGTGTGTGTCAGTGTATGTAACTGTATGTCTATGTATCTGCATATGTGGCAGTGTTTGTATCTGTGTGCCTGTACATCTGTATGTGGCAGTGTTTGTATCTGTTGTGCATCTGTATGTCTACATATCTATGTGTGTGTCAGTGTTTGTATCTGTGTATCTACATGTGTGTCAGAATGTGTGTCTGTATATCTGCATGTGTGTCAGTGTTTGTAGCTGTGTCTGTATGATTGTATCACTGTTTGTGTCTGTATGCCTGTGTATCTGCATGTGTGTCATTGTGTGTATCTGTATGTCTATGCATTCATTGAATATATATGTATGTCTGTATATGTATGTGTGTCAGTGTTTATAAATGTGTGTTTTTGTTTCTGCATGTGTGGCGGTGTGTTTCTGTGGCAGTGTATCTGTAGGTATTTCATTGTTTATATCCGTGTGTCTGTGCATCTTCATGTGTGGCAGTCTTTGTTTCTGTGTCAGTGTTTGTATCTATGTGTCTTTGTCTGAGTTTGTGTGTGTCTATATCTCTCTGTAGTTCAGCATTTGTATCAGTTTGTTTGTGCATCTGCATATGTGTCAGTGTTTGTATCTGTGTGTCTGTATTTTATGTGTGGCAGTGTGTGTATCAGTGTGTCTGTGCAACTGCATTAGTGGCAGTGTTTGCATCTTTGTGTATGTGCATTTGCACGTGTGACAGTGTCTTTGTAGGATTTTGTGTGTGTCTTTATCTGTATGTATGTCAGTGTTTGTATCTGTGTGTCTGTGGATCTACATGTATGTCAGTGTTTGTATCTGTGTTTCTGTATCTGTATGTGTATCTATATATATAGATATATATAAAATAATTTTCGGTGTACAAATGAATATCCATTGAAAATAATGCCTCGGATACTTATTTTTTTCACAATACAAAGCAAGTTTCCTCAGGATGCATTGCGCCTGGGAGGTTTATAGCGCCGCCCCCGTGCATGCTGGAGTCTGTGGGTAGCACGTGGTGTCGAGTGTGGAGGTGTTGGAGGTGTTGTAGCAGCTTTTGCATCGAGTTTTGGAGCCATTCTAAAAAAATATTGCAGTGCTTTTGGACTTTTGGGAACTTTTTGGGTGCATTTCTCAAGCGGTGGAAAGGTAGGGAGCTGAGCTTCATCATTTGCATGCCTTTTACTGTGTGTTCTGCATTGTGGGTTGGTTTCCATGCCAGCTCATTTTGACTTTTTTCTGACCTCCAGAATGGATTAATTGGTTTTTAATGCATTCCTATGGGAAACCGCATTTCGGTTTACGCATTTTTCGCAATTAGAAACTTCCCGGAGAACGCATTAAATTCGTAAACTGAGGTACCACTGTAATTACTTCTCCGGTCTCAAAATGATTAATCTCACTGAACAGAATCCCTCACAACAGCACAAATATGCAAAACAGGTGTTGTATCAAGTGTGGCAGAAGAGAAGCAGGGGAAGCCTAGACAGAGAAAAATGGAAGATGGGGCAGAGGAAAAAAAACATATATTAATTAAAAACATATCACTAATATGAGGGGTACGATTTATGAAAATTGACTGACAAGGGGTACACAAGTGAAAAAAGGTTGGGCACCACTGTACTATATTATCTTCAATCTCTTCAGGTATAATTTCTAAACATAATGTAAATGCATGACCAATGTAACCTAGAGAACAGAACAATCAGAATGTATTAACATGATTTTATTCACAATGTGAATCAATCGTGAAATCCTGTTTGTTTGTTATATCATTTAGACCAACTCCTAACCTTATTCTAATGTAATGTATGAAACACAATATTCTCTCAACTTAAACTCTCCATGCTTTATACACAAAGTATTAGTCTAATTTTAAATGTTTTATTTTTTTATAAATCCAGCACAGTTATCCAATGCAGTTTAATTGAGTATCAGTATAATCATAAATTAAACCTTAACTGGAACAAACAAATAATGAATCAAAATAATCATTTTGAAGTTGCAGTTCAATTAGGATCTCTGTATACCCCAGTGACATAAGACCTTTTCCAAGTATAAGAGATCTCTTAATTCCTGTAGTTTTTAGGGTACGTCATCATTACTTGTCCCACTGTGATTGATTCTACTGTTGAAAGAAAGCTTACTATTTCTTTAATACATAGCTTTGGAGACTGTCAGAACAGAGCAAAGTTGTATTCCACATATCACTTGCCAATCACAACATTTGTTTCCTGTTATCTAGAAGATTTAGACACAGAGCATGATTACATGTAAGGTGACTCTAGGTGCCTAGAACCCAAGGGTAACACAGGGGGCCAAGAACCATGAATTTGCTTGGCCCTTTTACCTTTACATATATAATGAATGAAGGGGGTGGGGGTGTGAGCACACTGGAAACCCCCATTGGTCTCTGTTGGATCTTAATGCTTTTCTGTTTAGACTATATTTTAATTAATATAATTTATATTTCAGCCTTTTTACATTAGTACTTGCATTTAATACTCTACTTAATATAAGTCTCAGTTGGTTTATAACTAATCATTTGTAGTTTTTTGTTTCATTTTTATAGAAATCGAGGACTAGATTTTTTTAATAAACATACTATGATAAAAAAACATGTTCATAATACTGACAGAAAATACATTACACATGCACACATTAATAAATATAGTGAACTGGTCTATAATGGAAATATGCAAGTATAGTGGAATAGTGAAATAGTGGACAGTGCTTATGAGCCAGTTAAGCATTGAAATTTAGTCTGTGACTGGGTAAAAATGACCATCTAGTGGTTGTAATACAGTGGCCCTAACGCTTCTTCATTTACAACAGATGGATATGTAGAGGAGGGCACTATCAATTGAAAAAAGAAAGAATATAGCCATATTCATGGAAGTTACACATAAGGTATGATGCTTACATGCAATACTGCCCTAAAACAAAGTAGATGTGTGTCATTAAAGTGGATTGTCGTGAACTGTAGTCAGCTCACATAGAGACGGAACTACGATCATACTAGCCAAAGCAGAAAAAGTATTACATTTTTTTTAACTTGCCAATTTTAGTCTACATTGTACATTTGGTTGTTATTGTTGTTATTGCACCAAAATTTACTGTTCCCTTATTTGTAAAAATAAAAACAAAGATGACTGGCGTCACCTGACATGAAAACAGAAGAAACCGCTTCATGTCAAGTTGAGTTTTACTCAACAGGTTCAAGGGATGAAGATTCCAATTCAGATTTTTTTTTTTTAGCTACAAGTAAATGAAACAGTATAGTTATATTAAATTTACCAAATATCTTAATACTGTTTTATTGAATGATAATTTAGGCCACAACATGCAAGTACTGTTGACCTAAATGTAGTACACTGTTTTTGTTCTCCTGAGTGAAGAATTGGTTGTATTAGTTTATATAATAAATCAAGTGCTTGTTACCTGGTACTGCTTGACACTTACCTAGTACTATTGTTATTTACCAAATTGTGGTATGGGTTGTTTTCTCAGACATATTAATAATATTTTTTACATGTTTGCTTGTTATAGTATTGTCATTTTGTTCACAGAATTATGTATTCCAAAATATAAAATAATTTATTTTACAACATCCTTTGACTGTTTTTAGCTAATAAATTATTGACCAGCAATTTCCTCTGTGTGCTCCTATTTTACATTTAGCATAGTATAAAAATTTACACTGGTGTGTATAAGAACAATTAAACAATTAATTGGAGAATATTGACAACAGAATTGTAAATTTCAGTCTAAAATTATTGAGCTGTAAAAATAGCCAAGTTGGAGATATTTCTAATTTGTCTATATTTAGCCTAACGTTTACAGTCCCCTTGACATTTCTAAACAACTCCCAGTTTAGTAAATAGTTTCCAACATTTAGCTACCGCAATTTTTGTCTTGTACACAAGAACCATTGTTTTTCTTCAGAGAGGTTATACTTCCTGAACGTGTAACGTTTGTTAAACTTATCTTTTCTAGATCCACTGGTAAACTTTGTCTGTCTTCATTCTCTGTTTCTCTGTGATAAAAGTAATTAAAGTTAGACACTATCACTGGGACTGGTAGAGCAATGGTCAAGACCCCTGCAATAGCACACAGAGTCCCCACAACCTTACCCCCCAATGTAATAGGGCACATATCTCCATAACCAACAGTTGTCATTGTCACCACAGCCCACCAAAAACCATCAGGGATGCTAACAAATTGAGATTTAGGTTCATCAACCTCAGCAAAATACACAGCACTAGAGAAGAGTATTACGCCAATGAAGAGAAAAAATATTAGCAAACCTAGTTCTCTCATACTAGCTTTCAGGGTTTGCCCTAAAATCTGAAGTCCCTTTGAGTGTCTTGATAGCTTGAAAATTCTAAACACTCTAACCAGACGGACAATCCGTAGAATTGCTAAAGACATGTTTTGCTGGCCATTAGGTTCTGGTGGCTTTACAAGTTCAGTTATAAGAGTTACAAAATATGGAATGATAGATACAATATCAATGATATTCATGATGTTCTGAAAGAACTCAGAAGTACTCGGACAGACAATAAACCTGACAATTAGTTCAAAAGAAAACCATATTATACAAATAGTTTCTATCATAAAAAAAGGATCTGTCAAGGTGCTTAGGTAAGTTATGTACTCTGTGTAGTTGCTTGAATCCCTGTGCATTTGAAAATCTCTTTCTTCTCTGAATTCTGGCAATGTTTCCAAGCAGAAGATGAGTATGGAGATGACTATTACTAAAACAGAGACCAATGCCATTCCTCTTGCAGCACTTGAGCTTTCAGGATATTCAAAAAGCAACCAAAATTGTCTATGATAGTCATTGGTTGGCAACGGTATTTCAGGATCCTTAAGAAAACCTTCATCCTCTCGAAACTGATCCAAAGCGTCATTTCCAAGTTCATAAAAAACAATCTCATCTGCAAAAACATCTATGGGGACATTTGCAGGACGCCTTATTTTTCCACCAGATTGGTAATAATATAGAATTCCATCAAAACTTGGCCGATTTCTGTCAAAAAAATATTCATTCCTCATGGAATCAAAATAATGGATTCTTTTTTGAGGGTCTCCAAGTAATGTGTCAGGGAACTCACTGAGTGTTTTGAGATGTGTCTCATATCTTAGACCTGCAATATTTATAAAGACTCTCTGCTCTCCTTCTTCCATCCTCATTGGCTCAGTTGATAAGTTGTCATGACATTCTTTGGGACACCTGGAAAATTCTGTCTCATTGTTCACATTCTCACTAAACTGCTTCCAGTTAGAGTTTTGAAGGGACTGGTTCAGGCCTTCTTCCTTCACTGCTTTTGTGCCTTCTGAATCTTTACAGGCATCACTTTGAGGAACTTCTAGATTATCCACAACTTTATGAATAGATTCCATTTTGCAGTCTTAAGGGAACCAAATTACAAGGTCATTATTTTCTATTCACATAAGCAGTGGCTTTTCCTCTGTGTGATAAAGGAAATAAAGAATGGTCAATATAAAGCATAAAACAACACTCTATAGAACGAAATTAAGCAAGCATATTGCATTACACATTTCTAAACTATACATTAAAGGAGAATTGTCACTTCTCTGGAATTTATGCTGCGGAAGAAAACATTGAAAATCACTTATAACACGTTACCCTTTTTTCATCAGACGCTCAGCTTTTTTTTAAACTTGTATTTTAAGAAATATTGTAAATCCCATCAAAACCCAAGTCAATCCAGGCAAAGCCTAGTCCAGGCATATATTGCCAATGAAAAAAAAATATGAATATTGTTTCATTTCTCCTTTTCTCTGTATTCTTTCTCAATGCTGACTGGACAGAGCAAAGGACAGAGCTCGTAACAATAATTGCCAGGGAGCTAAGATGGAGGCTCCCAGTTACAGGATAAAGAGGTGTGGATTTCTATGTTTAGTTGTATTTTTCACACCTAACAAATACATATTTGTTAAATATAGAAATAAGAAAATATATTAGTAAAAATCCCAGGAAGTGACAGCTCCCCTTTCAATATGTTCCTATATTTAGCTACGCTATGGATGTATGACCTTTTTGATTATAAGGTAGTGAAAATTAGGTATGTACAGAGTTATCCGGTTTTTCATTCCATTGCAATGAGCAAAACACAACTGTACATTCATGCAGCATGACATCCGTCTATTTCCAAGAACAAATTCATTGAAATGCTCATTGTGAATCAGACATTATTGCTATTCTGCTAAAGTAAAATTAGCTCTTAGCAGTAAGTGAGAGGAGTGAATGGGAACAGATTAGGATCAGCAGAAACAAACATGTGTACATGACAATTGGCGTGAGTCTTGAGTACATTATTGGGCAGGGAAAACTTGCCAAGGTGACAAAATAGCTTTAATCCTTTTAAGTGGTTAAAAAACAAAACAAAAGGATGTGCTGGATTTAGATTCAATTATAAAACCATGAATAAAGTGTTTGCAAAATGATAAGTGACAGAGTCTCACAATTAATTGAGCACAATCAACCTTTATTTGTTACCACCACCAATATTTCAGGTTTTCATAGCATTTCTCAAGCCTTTGCCCCCAGAACACTGCTCAATAAATATTCTTTGGCTATTACCCCCTGTGTATTTAATTATATGTGCATGTATAGATGTATCAGATAAGTGCATTAGTCCAAATGTTATCGCATGCTTGTAAATGTATTTTATTCCGTTTGATGTGTAATAAACTAATATTTATAATGTTTTGACACTGAACGCATACTCACCCATTAACTTCTGTCAACTGGGAGGTTTCCGGACAGAAGAAATGTTGGCTGCATCTTTGTCATCATCATCCATCCTAAAACATATATTAATCTTATTACACAATGCAGTTTGAAGATACATTTTGTTTTATGTCTCTGATTTCTGTCAGAAGCATAGTCAAGCATTGAAGGTTCCTGAAGTTTCTTTTCTGGTCTATAAACTATCTACATACTTGCTGTAACAGAGAAAAAGAGTCAAGGGGATTTCAGAAATCCTAGGATCTGGATTAATGGAACAGTAAAAAAAGATAAGGGCTTAGATCTACATAAACTTCAGAGACAATGGGGAAGATGTGTCAAACTGTTCTGTACATTATATAGTATATCATGGGTTTTGCTCATTTAGCACATTGTTGTGACTCAGAAATAACCCATTGAAGTTTTGCACTCATGCCCAGTCAGGCTATGCTAAGTAGGCTTACTGGTATTTTACAGCCAGTGGGACACTGTTTTCAAATGTAGTGGTTTTATTCCAGTGAGAATGTATTTTATGCCTTGGTGACTGTAACACACAAACCGTTAAATAGTATTTTGGGTAGGTTTGTTGGAATGCCAGGACAAGATGCGGTCAAGCTCCAGTTAATCATCAAAACTTCACCCATCCTTACGTTCCACAAGGTGACGGAACCACAGTACTTTCAGGTGATATACATCCCATAACTTTAAGACATTTTCAGTAGATTTGAGTAATTACTGCACTCTCTACAGTCATACATTTACAGGACTGTTTTCTAGATGTCACATTGTGTGTAAGAACATAACAAACAAAGTTAGTGCTACAAATAACTAAACATATCCATGCAAATGTAGTCCGGTACTCTCCTAGTCTACTGCAGAAGATAGAGACCCTTGGTAAAGCTGATAAAATAAAAGGCAGTTTATTATCATATTAAGCAGCCTAATATTGTTTAATGGCTCAAAAGAAGCTGTTCTTCCATTTTTGGAAAGAAACAAAAAGATTATAAAAGACAACCTTATGTTCTGCTGAGTGATAGCTTTGACAGAGAGAGAGGGGGAGACAGAAAGAAAAGGGCGTGAAGGATAAGGATTCTGCACAAAATGTAGCTATTATTGTGTCTACTTTCAGGATTTGGGGACATTAAAATGTGTGTGTGTTTATATTTTAAACATCACTGGATAGTTGTAGCATAGTTTCCAAAGACTGAGTGAGATAGAGAGAGACAGACAGACAGAGACACAGATAGACAGACAGACGGATAGACGGATAGACGGATAGATAGATAGATACATTCACCAACTAAAGAATATTAATAGTTAAATTCCAAATAAAGTGACATACCTGTAGTCAATATGAATTTTGAAGACAAAGCTTTCAGGGTTGTGAGACTCACACTTAGATCTTCAAGGTACAGCAGCCGCAAGTATAGTTTCTCAATAGAATAGACACCAGCTGGTAGACATCTCCCAATTTCTAGAGAGATTAAACAGGTGCATTGAACAATAGCATGTATGAAAAAAGAAGTTGGCACACTGCAAGCCTAATGATTCTCTTAATGATTCTTCACTTCTACCCTTTCACTATTTAAATGTTTAATGAAAGTTTTATCCTGTGTTGTAGTGCCATATGGAAATTTAGCCATTTTGCAAAGTCAAAGAGTAAGCAAGTTTTTTAACCCCTAAGGTGCCCTTACAACACTCATTAAACATAAATGGACTCACACTTAACTGGAGATGTTCACTGTCTAGACATCAGAAAGTATAGACATTGTACTCTAGATTGTGTGTGACCTTTTAAGAGTCTATGCCTGGGCCATAACCATTCTTTGGAAAAATCCTTGACTCTCTGAGCACTGTATTGAGTTCAGCTCCCTGTGCATCACACTTCTAGTATATGTTACTATTTCCTATTAGACAGAGCAGCGTTCGTCCACAGAGCTTCGCACCTTCCAGAAAACATACATTTATTTACCAGTTTTATCAGAGTGTATGATAATCTTCGCTGTACCTAAAATTAAATTATATCTAAAAATATTGGATTGTGTGTAACTATATGTTTTGATGGCGTCCGGGGACCTGAATTCACTGTTAACCATTAGATGATCCCAACGGACTCTGGTCTTTATAACAAGTTTGATTAGATAAAATATTTATGGTGCCTAGATACTTTGTTTATATATGCAGGTAAGAACAATTCGTTGCTTAAAATCCATAATATTGATTGAACCCGTTAGGGAATAAAATGCTACAAAATGAGCAAAAATCCTCATAGCAGTGATGTTTGTGATAAATAATGGTGCCTAGAGTGTCCGTATAATTGATATATTTTGCCAGACATAGCTGACAATGCATGCAAATTCGTTAATCTCTGCAGTGCTGTATGCATTGCGCATGTGCACATATAGCCCTGTTAGAGATAATGATAAGCGTATATGCACCAGTACAGGATTTTTCATCTGAGGCATCACGGGATGGCAACAACATCCAGAATGTGGAACGGCAATAAAGTCCATTTTTTTTACTTGTACGGACAAGAGGTCACTGCCATGCACTGCATTACAGCTTTAATACCATGAATGGTATATAAATAATGATGTTCTTTAATATTTATAATCATTTAAGATAAAAATCATACATGCATCACAGACAGAGAAGTCATTGTGATGTTTGCTGAAGGACAGTATTATTAGTAATACATTGCATTATACATTAACTTAAAACCACTAGTTGTTCTACAAAATATAGAGAGTAAACAGCAAACAGGAATATGCAATTATCAGAGTTTAGAGATATTCTAAAAACTTTAAATGATCTGCCAAAAGATGCACAATCTGTCAAAAAATTAATGGAATATATCTCTCTTCAGTCTAATCCGTATATTATAAGACATAACTCTTATAGTTCTATGATCTTAGAAACGCTCAAGAACTATTTATTGTAAAATGATTATCCCGATCTGTAATAGCATTATAGTATGTGCTATACAGTAATTTTCAATTGAGATGGAGCACTCAGGAATAGTGATGCACCGAACGGTTCGCTGGCGAATAGTTCCTGGCGAACATAGCATGTTAGCATTCGCCACGGCGGGCGAACATATGCGCGGTTTGATCCGCCCCCTATTCGTCATCATTGAGTAAACTTTGACCCTGTACCTCACAGTCAGCAGACACATTCCAGCCAATTAGCAGCACACCCTCCCTAGCAGACCCTCCCACCTACTGGACAGCATCCATTTTAGATTCATTCTCAAGCTGCATGCTTAGTGAGAGGAGGGAAAGTGTAGCTGCTATTGATTTGATAGGGAAATGGATAGCTAGGTTAGTGTATACAGTGTCCACTACAGTCCTGAAGGACTCATCTGATCTCTGCTGTAAGGACAGCACCCCAAAAAGCCCTTTTTAGGGCTATAACATCAGTCTGCTTTTTTTTTTTTGTGTAATGTAATTGCAGTTGCCTGCCTGCCTGCCTACCGGCTTCTGTGTCAGGCTCACAGTGGATACTGTGCCCACTTGCCCAGTGCCACCACTCACTCATTGGTGTCACAATAGCTTGCATTTAAAAAAAAAAATTTTTTTTCACTATAATAGATTGAATAGAAGTTAGTTGTCTGCCAGCTTCTGTGTCAGGCTCACAGTGCATACTGTGCCCACTTGCCCAGTGCCACCACTCACTCACTGGTGTCACAATAGCGTGCATTAAAAACCCAAAAACTTTTTTCACTGTTATAGATTGAATAGCAGTTAGTTGTCTGCAAGCGTCTGTGTGTCAGGCTCGCAGCGTATACTGTGCCCACTTGCCCAGTGCCACCACTCATTCACTGGTGTCACAATAGCGTGTCTTTAAAAACCAAAAAAATGTTTTCACTGTTATAGATTGAATAGCAGTTAGTTGTCTGCAAGCGTCTGTGTGTCAGGCTCGCAGGGTATACTGTGCCCACTTGCCCAGTGCCACCACTCACTCACTGGTGTCACAATAGCGTGCATTTCAAAACCCAAAAACTTTTTTCACTGTTATAGATAAAATAGCAGTTAGTTGTCTGCAAGCGTCTGTGTGTCAGGCTCACAGCGTATACCGTGCCCACTTGCCCAGTGCCACCACTCACTCACTGGTGTCACAATAACTTGCATTTAAAAAAAAAAGTTTTCACTGTAATAGATTGAATAGCAGTTAGTTGTCTGCAAGCGTCTGTGTGTCAGGCTCGCAGCGAATACTGTGCACACTTGCCCAGTGCCACCACTCACTCACTGGTGTCACAATAGCGTGCATTTCAAAACCCAAAAACTTTTTTCACTGTTATAGATAAAATAGCAGTTAGTTGTCTGCAAGCGTCTGTGTGTCAGGCTCACAGCGTATACTGTGCCCACTTGCCCAGTGCCACCACTCACTCACTGGTGTCACAATAGCTTGCATTTAAAAAAAAAATAGTTTTCACTGTAATAGATTGAATAGCATTTAGTTGTCTGCAAGCGTCTGTGTGTCAGGCTCGCAACGTATACTGTGCCCACTTGCCCAGTGCCACCACTCACTCACTGGTGTCACAATAGCTTGCATTTAAAAAAAAAATAGTTTTCACTATAATAGATTGAATAGCAGTTAGTTGTCTGCCAGCTTCTGTGTCAGGCTCACAGTGGATACTGTGCCCAGTGCCACCACTCACTCACTGGTGTCACAATAGCTTGCATTTAAAAACAAAAAACTTTTTTCACTGTTATAGATTGAATAGCAGTTAGTTGTCTGTCAGCGTCTGTGTCAGGCTCACAGTGGATACTGTACCCAGTGCCACTCACTCACTGGTGTCACAATAGCGTGCATTTAAAAAACAAAAAACTGCCACCACTCACTCACTGGTGTCACAATAGCTTGCATTTAAAAAAAAAAATGTTTTCACTGTAATAGATTGAATAGCAGTTAGTTGTCTGCAAGCGTCTGTGTGTCAGGCTCGCAGCGTATACAGTGCCCACTTGCCCAGTGCCACCACTCACTCACTGGTGTCACAATAGCTTGCATTTAAAAAAAAATTGTTTTCACTGAAATAGATTGAATAGCAGTTAGTTGTCTGCAAGCGTCTGTGTGTCAGGCTCGCAGCGTATACTGTGCCCACTTGCCCGGTGCCACCACTCACTCACTGGTGTCACAATAGCGTGCATTTAAAAACCCAAAAACTTTTTTCACTGTTATAGATTGAATAGCAGTTAGTTGTCTGCAAGCGTCTGTGTGTCAGGCTCGCAGCGTATACTGTGCCCACTTGCCCAGTCCCACCACTCACTCACTGGTGTCACAATAGCGTGCATTTAAAAACCAAAAAACTTTTTTCACTGTTATAGATTGAATAGCAGTTGGTTGTCTCCAAGCGTCTGTGTGTCAGGCTCGCAGCGTATACTGTGCCCACTTGCCCAGTGCCACCACTCACTCACTGGTGTCACAATAGCGTGCATTTAAAAACCCAAAAACTTTTTTCACTGTTATAGATTGAATACCAGTTAGTTGTCTTCAAGCATCTGTGTGTCAGGCTCGCAGCGTATACTGTGCCCACTTGCCCAGTGCCACCACTCACTCACTGGTGTCACAATAGCTTGCATTTAAAAACAAAAAACTTTTTTCACTGTTATAGATTGAATAGCAGTTAGTTGTCTCAAAGCGTGTGTGTCAGCCCTACAGCGTGTACTCTGCCAGTTTACAGTGCCACTCATATCTGGTGTCATAATAGCTTGCATTTAAAAACAAAAAACTTTTTTCACTGTTATAGATTGAATAGCAGTTAGTTGTCTCAAAGCAGGTGTGTCAGCGTCTTGCTCCACATCAGCGGATAGGGGACGTAACAGGGATTAAACTGATAAGAATAGTACTACTTAACACACCACTCCTATCTGGTGGCACATTAGATTGCACGCGCAGTGCCCCAAATTTGTTGTGATCTGTGAGTAAGGTAAGCGGTTGTCCATACAAGTAAGGTTGCAGCTTTTTGAGGGCCCACACCACCGCCAGGCACTCCTTTTCAATGGCAGTGTATCTACTTCCCTGGGCAAAAGTTTCCGGCTTAGATAAGCCCCGGGTTGCTCGCCACCATCTGCTCCGACTTGGCTCAGTACTGCTCCCAATCCAAAAAAGCGTTTAGTTGGATCAGGAGCAGAAAGTACAGGTGATTTAATGAGCGCCGTCTTGAACTGTTTGAAGGCCTGTTCACACTCTGGGGCCCATACTACTATCTTGGGGAGGTTTTTACGCGTTCCTATATGGCACTTACTGGGCTTTAGGGTCAGTCCGGCCTCCCTAATCCGGTCTAGTACGGCTCCTATGTGGGTCAGGTGTTCTGGCCAGGAGCAGCTAAAATGGCTATATCATCCAAGTAGGCGCAGGCATACTCCTGAAACCCATCCAGTAGCCGATCTACCATCCTCTGAAAGTTAGCCGGGGCATTCTTCATCCCAAATGGCATGACCTTAAACTGATACAGGCCAAACGAGGTGACAAATGCCGACTTGTGGATGGCGTCCTCGGCTAATAGAATTTGCCAGTACCCCTTGCACAGATCTATTGTGGTGAGGTACTGGCCTCTGGCCATTTTGTCTAGGAGCTTGTCTATCCGGGGCATAGGGTAGGCGTCTGAGGTTATTTTATCATTTAGCCTCCGGTAGTCTACACAGAAACGGGTCGTGCCGTCCCGTTTCGGTACTAGTACTACCGGGGAGGCCCAGGGGCTGTCAGAGTGTTCTATCACCCCTAACTGCATAATTTCCTCAATTTCTTTCCGCATATTTTCTTTAACTGCTTCGGGTATACGATAGGCGATTTGGCGAAGGGGGGTCTGGTCTAGGGTTTCAACTTTGTGAGTGGTTAACGGACTGTACCCAGGTAGGTTGGAAAACGTGGTCCCCTTGTCCTGGATTAGTCTTTGGACCTGGGTTCGCTCCTGTGGGTCTAACCGTTCTCCTAACTGTACTTCTCCCATGTCTCCGCTCTGGCCCTCTAGGTCTAGGAGATCTGGGAGTGGCAAATTATCATAATCTTCAGTGGCAGGTGCACAGATCGCGGTTACCTCTTCCGTGCGCTCGTGGTATGGTTGAGCATGTTCACATGGAGCATGCGCTTGCCTCCCGTGCCTGTGACCGCATCGATCACAAAGGTGGTATCACAAACCTGCTCTACCACCTTGTATGGGCCCTGCCAGGAAGCCTGCAGCTTGTCCTTGTGGACAGTGTCAATCCATATCTGCCAAGTGACCCTATGTAGGGGAACAGTCTCTATTCTGCTCTGTGTCAGTGTGTATCATGATCTCTGAGGACAGGTGTCAATCCATATCTGCCAAGTGACCATATGTAGGAGGAACAGTCTCTATTCTGCTCTGTGTCAGTGTGTATCAGGGGCTCTGAGGACAGGTGTCAATCCATATCTGCCAAGTGACCCCATGTAGGGGGAACAGTCTCTATTCTGCTCTCTGTCAGTGTGTATCATGGTCTCTGAGGACAGGTGTCAATCCATATCTGCCAAGTGACCCTATGTAGGGGGAACAGTCTCTATTTTGCTCTGTGTCAGTGTGTATCATGGTCTCTGAGGACAGTTGTCAATCCATATCTGCCAAGTGACCCTATGTAGGGGA